TATGTGAAGTAAAAGTTCAGCGTACATTTAACATTATAATTTTTTAAGGTATATATTATATGCAATACACTATTTGTATTCGTATTCGGCCGAATAGTTGGTCCCGCTATTCGTATTCGGCCGAATAGTGAGAATCACTATTCGGTACAGCCCTAGAAACGATTATTGATAAGTTGCATGCCAAATTTCGACAACTCACACTGAACGGTTACACATTAAAAAAGTTAGGGCTGACTTCCCGAACGGACTATGAACACATTAAGCAATGGTTGGAATTCATGTGGACAAGTCTGCAAGGCATCCCAACATATGTTGCCGGGACTGAAGTGAACACGTTCACTAACCTCCACGCGCAAAGTTGCACGTAGAACACTAAGGAGAAACAGAAAGTCATCTGGGGGTCTCTGTTGCGAAGTAGTCAAGCTGTTAGCCTCGCGGTCTGAAAGTCGTAGGTTTCTTTCACGACAGCATTGTTCGGTTCACAAGTGTAATTTTTTGGAGATCCCCAAGGTTCGTCGCTGAAGCTACAGAGTCCATGGTTTGTGTGATATTCACAGCCGGCGGTAAGCCGTTCTGCAGAGAGAGAGAGAGAGAGAGAGAGAGAGAGAGAGAGAGAGAGAGAGAGAGAGAGACTGGGTCACATGGGATCAAAGTTCACTCAAGTCGCCACTCTCATCTTTGATCTTTAACCTTTAGAAAGTCATCGATTATCTTTAAATTGTGTCTGTCTGAAGCCGGCATTTAACTGCGTTGTCTGGACCGTCGATCAATGCACAACCGGAAGATATCCACGCCACATGTTCCAGTTGGCAGTTAGACAAAATAGCATCAATGGCTGTAACGTTTGCTTAATTAGACTTTGAGATAGGTTAACGTTTTTTTGCACGTCTCTAAAAAACAAAAAATAAAAAGGCAAAAACCACGAATCCCGGGAAGAAAACTAGCTAGTTAACCAGTTTGTCTGTCAATCAAATAATTAATCAGTCGATCAATTTGGAATTTACTTTTTAAAGAGGAAGGGGGAAAAATGACTTGGCCACTGGCTACTGGAGATAGAGACCGCTGCTTGGTGGAATGTCTCGAGGGCTATCTGTCGGTTCTTAACTCGGTTCAGCTCAACACAGTTTAACTGAATTAAAAATAAGCGTTATGGAATTACGATAGGGTTGCAAATAACAACCATATTGTGTGTGTGTGTGTGTGTGTGTGTGTGTGTGTGTGTGTGTGGTGCGTGCGCACGTGTTTGTGTGTGTGTGTGAGTGTGTGTGTGAATATATTCTGAAGCAAATGTGTAATTTCTAGATAGATATGTTCATCGCAACGTTTAATGTAAGTTCTCCAGTGCGATAAAGTGCTTGAATTCCTGTGAAAAGATTTGGGGGGGGGGGGGTGTTTGGTCTTGGTGGCGCGTGGGACCACTCTTGCATTACGTAATGTACCTCTTTATGGGACCGAGAAGCCTTACCTTCCAGTGACTCCCTCGGTTGTCCAGACAGGCTGAAACAAGGTTGTCTCCAACACTGGAGATGGACCTGATGGAAATTACTTGGGGTTAGGTCTGACGACTACAGGGGATGTGGTACACATTGAAAGATGTGGGAGGTTTCAGCTGTTACACGGAGAACGTGAGGTCAAGCTTTTGTTATTTTTCAAAACGGGAGAAGGGTCATTTTAGAAGGGGGAGGGGCAGTGGGGCACAAGTTCATCTATTGTTTAGTTCGACGTAAATCTCCCCCAGACCCCGCCCATTTACACACGAACTCACTTCTGATTGGTAGTTCCTGAGCCCCGTGACTTCACACACGGTTACAGGGGTGTTCTGTAATGCCGTAGATATCGCGTGTTGTATATTTCAGCACGCCATCGCTTTTAACACTCCAAAAACATGGAGAAACTGGGTCTAACACAGCCTCCCTAAAGAATGTTGTAACCTATGTCACAGGCATTCTCTTTCTCGGAATTAAAACGTAAATGCAAGACTTTGCAGAAACCAAAAAACATAGCGGGACACACCCATAACCTGCAGGCATGTCGAGCAGCCCAACAAACTTGTGAATGAAAAGTGACCTACTCTATTTGGGAAGACTAACGTCAAACTAACCCTTCTACTATTGAACAGACTGCTAGACTCCTGTCTAGGCATACATGTTGCGTGCAGAGTGGTGTGCATCGCTCTAGAGTTACCGAGTAGTGCGCAACCTTAATTCTCCAGGCTATGCTGGTCTGGAGGAATACGAACAAGCAGACCGACAGACTGGTTAGCTCTGCACTACAGAGTCGTGCTTGATTTGATGCGTGATGATGTAATAAAGACCCGTTGGAAGCATCAGTCTGAAGAGAGAGGCGCCCAATGAAGATACCTCACAGAAGGGATGCTGAAACAGGGAGGGCCACTTCTTCCATTGAATTCCTTTTGAAAAAAAAAATTGTCAAGGGGCTAAGTTGCAAGACCCCCCCCCCCCCATCCCCCCACCCAATCTCAGCCATGGATATTTATTTTATAAACTCTGCTTTAATATTTGTTTATACGCATCACATTATTTTTAATATATAAACATAATTTTGCCAGCTTTTAATTATTATTATTATCACGATACTATTGTTATTGCTCAAGGTCTAGGCCCTTAATTCGAGTCTTGTCATCCCTTTCTAGAATGCAAGTTTTTGCTATTTGAAGCCCCACCCTGGCTTCACAATATAGCCCGGCCATAAATATGGTCTAATGGCTGAACCCGGCTTATGGGACCTCTCCACAAAAGATCCTCATCCACATGGTGGTACTTTGTGTCATCGGGTGTTAATCGCTTGTGTGAGGTCCTAGTGGGGTAAAAGAAGATAGATAGATGGTCTAGGCCCCTTGTTATGTTTCTAAAACATCGTCCCCATGTGGGATGCAATTTTTGTTATTTGAAGCCCCACCCTGGCTTCTGCCGGGGGCCCTGAATATAGCCGGGGCGTAGATATGGCTGAAAGGGGTTTCTGGGACCTCTCCACGGATGATCCTCATCCGCATAGTGGCACTTTGTATCACCGGGTGTTTATCGCTTGTGTGATGTCCTGGTGGGGTACAAGTACCTACCTACCTCTAGGCTCCTTGAGCCTTACAACCCACAGTTTAAGGGCGCTGAGTTCGACCTTCATGTCTTCTTTGTGTCGACTCCCTTGGTTAACACAAACAATCTTAACAAAATAAGAATTAGCACAAATTTCCAGACTCAAAGTTAAAAAAATATAAAGTCAGGAGATGTGAACCAGCGTCATTGCACGCAGTTATAAACCATAAGTGCTCTGCCACCAGTGCGGACAGCTGATAAGAAACTGTCCGCTTGTGTCGCTGTCTGCACGTAACTCGTAGCTACAACAACGTTACTCTATTTACCACAGAGTGTCAACTTTGGTACCCATTTCCTAGAGGCTGGGTGAACCCTGGGAACCGCCCGGTTTCGAACAACGACCGTGGGCTGCAGCGAGTCGCAGCTGGATTTGAAAGCGAGTCTCGTATCGACTGCACTAACATGGCCCCACACTCCAGGCAGCAAGCAAACGAGTTCGGTCTTATGTTTTATTATTTTTTTTTTTTTTTATTATTATTATATTTCATTGTACTCTTGTATTACTTAACAGAAACGTACGTCTGTCCCCCGACGACCCACATCAAGTGTAAAAACCACTTTTGTGTATCACGTGATGCTCAGTGCAACTTCAAGGACGACTGTGGCGACAACTCAGATGAGAAGACTTGCAGTAAGTAGATAAAGAAATTGTCAGTTTTTTTTTTTTTTTCGTTTAGAATACGATTAGGCTTTTTAACGATTTCATTCATTGTCTTGTTGTTTTATATGTAACAAATGTAATAGTGTGTATTACATGTCAAATAGGGCTCGCAGTCTATTCCCTTCTATTCCCTTTAATATCATGTATGGAAGCCAGCCTACCAGCTTTGGCCTCTCTCATCAAGATTCGTTGTAGGGTTTCTTTTGGGCGTCCTGGCCTCCTAAATCCCTACCCCGTCCTCTCCCTTTTTTTAAAACGATCATCATCAATCAGCGTCCTTTACAGAGTCTCGCTCTTTTCAAGGCACGCCTGCAAGTATTATTTTCTCTAGCCAGCTCTCCAGCCCCATGTGCTTTCAATGCCAATGCATCTTCAATGTCTTGTATCCATCTTCGCAGTGGTCGATCCCTGCCTCGCCTTCCACAAACTGCACCTTCCATCACTGTTTTTTTTCTTCTTCTCCAAGCCACCATGACGCTTGATGTGGCCAAATTACTTTAACTTTCGGGACAGGATGCTGTTTATGAGCCAGTTCTCCTTGATGTTCAACTCGTTCAGAATGTCGATGTTTTTCCTCTTCCTGATCCATGGTATTCTAAGAATTTTTCTATAGCATTTCATTTCAAAAGCTCCAATCTTCTTCCTCAGTGACTGAGTGAGAGTCCCAGACTCACAATTTAAAACGATACTGTGTATTATTAATCAGCATTGCAAGCATGTATCTGAGAGTGTAGGATGAGAAGCAACAGCGAAGTTCATACTCTGCTAATAAAATCACCAGTAATTCCTGGCTTTATAGGCGCTAATAGACTGTGATGGTCTAGTAGTACTAGCACAAATTACCCCACCAGGACATCACACAAGCGATAAACACCCGATGACACAAAGTGCCACCATATGGATGAGGATAACCCGTGCAGAGGTTCCAGAAACCGCGTTCAGCCATTAGACCATATTTATGGCCGGGCTATATGGCAGCCCCTGGTAAGAGCCATAATACGGCTTCAAAATAACGACAAACTGCATCCCACAAGGGGATGACCAATGATGTAATGTGATGGTCTAAGTATACATAGGGAATGGCAGATGACAGAGATGCATAAACTTTGTATACAAGAAAGTTGAGTGCAGGTAGACCACGAAGCCGACAACGAAGCCGACCAAGAAATCGACCACGAAGCCGACCACGAAGCCGACCAAGAAATCGACCACGAAGTCGACCAAGAAGTCGACCACGAAGTCGACAGTGATAATGTACAAGAAAACTAACAACAGTCGGCTCCTTGGCTAAGTCGATGCGAACGCTTCATAATGCTGGAGTGCCAGGTTCGATCTCAGTGCGCCTTGCTTTGGTTTCGACAGTGGTATCAGGGGACCGACCGTTCAGGTGGCAAACTACTGGACGTAAATTTGCCTAGAGAAACCACGCAACAGCCATTTCTCTTATACTCCCTCTGAGCAGATGAACATAAACCACATTTCTTGTAGTGCCCTTGACCAGATGAACGTAGTTTCATGTCTCCTGTACCTCCCCCACCCCCACCCCACGACTAGATGAACGTAGACCCATATCTCTTGTACTCCCCCTGACCAGATGAAGGTAGACCTATATCTCTTGTACTCCGACTGACCAGATGAACGTAGACACATATCTCTTGTACTCCCCCTGACCAGATTAACGTAGACCCATATCTCTTGTACTCCCCCTGACCAGATGAACGTAGACCTATATCTCTTGTACTCCGACTGACCAGATGAACGTAGACACATATCTCTTGTACTCCCCCTGACCAGATGAACGTAGACCCATATCTCTTGTACTCCCCCTGACCAGATAAATGTAGACCCATATCTCTTGTACTACCCCTGACCAGATGAACGTAGACACATATCTCTTGTACTCCCCCTGACCAGATGAACGTAGACACATATCTCTTGTACTCCCTCTGACCAAATTAACGTAGACCCATATCTCTTGTACTCCGACTGACCAAATTAACGTAGACCCATATCTCTTGTACTCCGACTGACCAAATTAACGTAGACCCATATCTCTTGTACTCCGACTGACCAAATTAACGTAGACCCATATCTCTTGTACTCCGACTGACCAAATTAACGTAGACCCATGTCTCTTGTACTCCGACTGACCAAATTAACGTAGACCCATATCTCTTGTACTCCGACTGACCAAATTAACGTAGACCCATATCTCTTGTACTCCGACTGACCAAATTAACGTAGACCCATATCTCTTGTACTCCGACTGACCAAATTAACGTAGACCCATATCTGAACTGAACTGAATTTCTACCCCACTAGGACATCACACAAGCGATAAACACCCGATGACACAAAGTGCCACCATGTGGATGAGGATCGCCGTGGAGAGGTCCCAGAAACCGCGTTCAGACATTTGGCCATATAAATGGCCTGCCTATATTGCGGCCCCTGGCAAAAGCCAGAGTGGGGCTTCAAATGACAAAAAATTTCGTCCTAAAAAGGACGAAATTTGGTATAGATATTAGACCCATATCTCTTGTACTCCGACTGACCAAATTAACGTAGACCCATATCTCTTGTACTCCGACTGACCAAATTAACGTAGACCCATGTCTCTTGTGCTCCTCCTGACCAAATTAACGTAGACCCATATCTCTTGTACTCCCCCAGCCAGGAAATCTTGCACCGCTACAGAGTTCAAGTGCAACAACTCTCAGTGTGTGTTCATGGCCTACTTGTGTGACGGCATCGCTGACTGTGTGGACGGCAGCGACGAGGACCAGGCACAGTGTGGTACGTGTACTTACTTCCCTTTTGTGTCTGTATATCTCTGTGAAAATCCATTTTCAAGGCTTCTTCTGTTGGTATTAAATAGATTTCCACCGCAGATTTATAAGCTTGTAAACGTATTCCATTTGCAATCATCGCATTACATATTCTGTAGCTTAAAATTATTTTGAATTGCTTTAGTTTTTTTTTTTTTTTTACGGTGTTTTCATTTACCCTATAAAAAAGTATGGTGTAAGGAACCGTTAGGGTTGCGGGTCACTTTGCATCAATAAAATGGGATCAGGACTCGAAAAAGGTTCCGAACCGCTGCATTAACCCATGCAGGCCCACTACATTGTTAAATCCTTCTGGCATCTAGTTTTTATCTGAAGTCATGAAGACACGGTGAATGTGACTATAAAGTGAAGAATGTTTGGAGTAGAAGGAATTCAGGACCCGAAGCTGAAACAGTTAATGATTTATTTCATTACCATCACTAAGTTGTCAGTAATTTGTCCAGCGTTCTTCTCACCACAATTCTCCGTTACTGGTTTCCAATTATAACTCTTGAGAACGTTGAACGAGCGATCTGAGATTTTCCTCGGATTGAGATTAAGAGAAAAGGTCTTTCAGTTACAAGAGCAACCAAGTCTTCGATGACAGTCCGACGGGAAAGTCGATTAGTCCAACAGAGACTGGCATGTGATATCACACAGTCTAGTTTAAGAATTGAGGTGGAGGCAGTAACTGCTGCCTTTCGCAGGCTTGAGAATCAGCTGTACACGCATGCTGTGATTGTAAACTGACTCACATAGTATGTTGAGAAAGATGGAGACAGGCACAGTGCAGAGTGGCAAGCATACCTTCAGAGGTCGCCGGTAGTTGGTATCCATTGGATATTTTTTACAGGTCATTTCGGTATGTTACGAAGTGAGCAAGCAGATAGCTGGTCGGTTCTGCACCCCTTGGTGATGAACTGATGTATGACAAGCTAGATGTTATGAGAGCCCTTTAGGAGAGAGTGGCGATGCGAGAAGTTACCAGGGTATCTGGCTGATGCTCAACACTCAAGGGAAAGGCGAGACGGATATACAATCAAATACTGGTACCATCTGAATTCGAACACTTCGCTTGCTTTTGAAGATGGGGACGGGGCGACTTGTGTTAGTGTCCCGAGTGCTTTGGTGTGGATTCTTAATTCAACTTTCAACATTCGGGTGAGAACAGATACACGGGCAGTAGAAGCTGTAGACATTGTTTTTCCTCAAGAATTTTTGTTCGTAACATTCACATCTCAAGGATGAGAATCATACAGGAGCAGCTTTACAAAATGGCATCTGTTCCCATGTTGACCCGGCCTTAGCTGGGTATCAGGTAAAGTCCTGGGAAGTAAAAGCCGCTAGCGGGGTGTTGACCACATCACCTATCTAGTGCCGATTGAATTATAAAATATAGGTCTAGCCCTATATGCCCAATACGTACGAAGGGTGGGGAAAAGGATCTTTTACTTACTTTTACTAAATAAGCGAGCCCGGCTCTCTAGCGTAGTTGGCTAAACCTGACTTTCGCGGTGGCCGGGTGAAGTGCTCCTTGTGGTCCGGGTTCACTCCCGGGGGTAGGCAGAAAAGCCAAATTTCTCCCAGATTTACGGTACCTATAATGCAATCAAAACCGAAGGGCTGCGATATCCATAGAACCGATCCAAAGGGTTTACAACTCATGGTTTCTGGATACTCAAAAAAACAAACGTGACTGACTGACTTTCTACCCCACTAGAACATCACACAAGCGATAAACACCCGATGACACAAAGTGCCACCATGTGGATGAGGATCGCCGTGGAGAGGTCTCAGAAACCGCGTTCATACAATTGGCCATATTTATGGCCTGCCTATATTGCGGCCCCTGGCAAAAGCCAGAGTGGAGAGTGGAGCTTCAAATAACAAAAAATTTCATCCTGAAAAGGACGATAGTAAATATAAACGATTTTTAAAAACAAACATGGTTGCCGAGAAACCTAGAGTCTAATCTTTGGGCATAGACTACAGACAGACAGATAATTTTTGCTTTGTTCGGCTATTCTAGAATTACATTCACAAACAATCTAAATCTTATGGGGTGGATGAAGACGGAGGTACTCGATTGCTGTATACGGTTTTGTTTTTGTCTTTCGTGATAACATTCACAAATTATTGCAACATACATTTTTATCGAACTCAGTTCAGAAATGGCAGCTAAAAATAACTTTTGGGGATTAACGATGTCAGAGTGGGGCTTAACTGGAAATACATTTTCTGTTATTTAGCGTGTTACGCTTTTATATTTTTCCAATTTCAGCGGGTTTTTTTTCTTTTGTGCGTGTGTGTGCGTGAATCATCTCCTCGCTGACTTTCTGGCATAGTTCGTTTTTGCCAGCCAGGTTCCTGCCATGATTGTAGGTTGTGGGACAATGGAAAGTTGATTAAAGGGAGATAAGATAATGATCACACGTCATATAAGATTGAGGGGGACAACTCAAAGGGTGATTTTTGCAATTTTGCTAGGAACTGGGTCAGTCTTTCCCTCTCACCCTCCCCACCCCTTTTTTTCTCTTTCTCCCTTACTTCTTCTTCTACTTCTTCTTCTTCTTCTTCTTCCTATGTCTGCTTCTATCCTGGCCTTTCTCTGTTCTTCTCGTTTCCACCATCCTCCTTCTGTTACTACTGTTATTACTTCTACTGCCAAAACAACAACTCTAATCACTATACTTACCTGGCACAGGTTATACTTTATTACTTCCCGTCTTTTTTAGGATGAAATTGTTCGCTATTTGAAGCCCTACTCTGGCTTTGCCGGGGGCCGCAATATAGCCTGGCCATAAATATGGCATAATGGCTGAACGCGGTTTCTGGGACCTCTCCGCGGTGATCCTCACCCACATAGTGGGACTTTGTGTCATCGGGTGTTTATCGCTTGTGTGATGCCTGGTGGGGTAGAAAGTCAGTAGTCAGACTGTTATTACTTTTGCTGCTAAAACAACTGTAATAAATTCTACTACTACTACTACTACTACTACTACTACTACTACTACTACTACTACTACTACTACTACTACTACTACTACTACTACTACTACTACTACTACTACTACTACTACTACTACTACTACTACTAATACTCCTACTACTACTACTACTCCTATTACTACTACTACTACTACTACTACTACTACTACTACTACTACTACTACTACTACTACTACTACTACTACTACTACTACTACTACTACTCCTACTACTACTACTCCTCCTACTACTACTACTCCTCCTTCTACTACTACTACTCCTACTACTACTACTACTACTACTACTACTACTACTACTACTACTACTACTACTACTACTACTACTACTACTACTACTACTACTACTACTACTACTACTACTACTACTACTACTACTACTACTACTACTACTACTACTACTACTACTACTACTACTACTACTACTACTACTACTACTACTACTCCTACTAATACTACTCCTACTACTACTACTACTCCTACTACTACTACTACTACTACTACTACTACTACTACTACTACTACTACTACTACTACTACTACTACTACTACTACTACTACTACTACTACTACTACTACTACTACTACTACTACTACTACTACTGCTACTACTACCTCTGCTGCTACAACTACTTTTGCTGCTACTGGTAATGTTGCTGCTGCTGCTATAAAAAACAAATAGCACTACCGCCACCACCACTATAATCTCTACAACGCTCGCCACCAAACAGCAACATCAGACGGCAGTTGAAAGTTAACAATCTGCCCTGATTCCATTCGCCTCAATACCAATGGTTTGAATCCTGGAGCTAGCAGCATCCATTAGGTCATTAGACCGGGGAATTCACCGTCTCACATCCTTAAAATATAATTGAAATAAAATAAATAAGCACACAGGAGTCGCCAAAATGTAGCTGCTAGACTCTCGACTGTGTATTCGAATGACGTGGGTTCAAATCCGAACGGAGTCTGACACTTTTTTTTTTTTTCAGTAACGACCTTGGCTCTAAAGTCGACTCTGCCTTAAATGTTGGTAGGTAAAGTCGTTTGAAGTCAATGAAATATGTCTATATTCTCAATCCGTCCGAGGGCGTTGACAAGACTCCATTAACGGGGGCTGAGTGATCTCGAGGCAAGGCGTCCGCCTCGAGTGAAGGAGGTCCCGGGTTCAGGCCTTGCTGAAGGCTAGGATTTTTTCATGTGGACCCCTGGTCTCTGGGTAGTAAGATCTGATGCCCGTATGTATTGCTGCGCACGTAAAAACAGTTAGCAGTTGGAAATCGAAAAGAGTAGCCTAACGGCGCTTCCCGGGCAAAAATATACTAAAAGTATTTCAGGATCCTCGCCGGTGTTACGGAGTTCGTGCATTGCGCTGAGATTTTTTGGACTCAGGCTTGAGTTAGAGGTAGAGCACTTATGGGTTACTACCCTAATGCCATGATGTTGATCCGTTGTTCAAACTTTAACATTTTGAGTACCAGATAGTTTCATAGGCGCTGTCAAACGGCAAAAATTGCCACTCGAAAAAATCACGAATCTATTACTTCCAAAGAATTAGGGAAGCCTGGTTGCTCAGCTTGTTTAGATCAAACGTGGAAAGTAGAGGAAGGCATGACAAGCTGGGTGGGATCACAGAAGATCTAATCGAACGTCATAAGTTACTTGGGACAAAAAGAGTTAAATAAGCACCAGAAAGTCAAGGACGAGAAAAGACGTCATCAAACGGAATATGTCTCCATTCCTTCTGGGTTCTTTCACTCCCGGCTGCTACAGAAAGGTTTGACATCCTGAGATCAAATAATTTTAGTCGGGATGGTAGACCAAGAAGGTATATCACAGATATCCCGTTCAGTCCCTAAAGGAAGTTATAACTGAGACACCCGTGACGACAACACCAGCTTCATACCACCTGCAGTAAATGGTAGCAGGTAGATAAGTAATTGGTCCCCTTCATTACTGCAGTCTGTAGGATTAATACTTCAAGGATGCGAATCAACCAAGTACAAATCACAGAATCCCTGTTCAACCCAAAACACAATTCATTGGGACACCCAACAAGTGTCTAGTATTCCGAAGACCTACACGGGTTAGGAATACCCGGATAGAGCAGTGCAAAAAATGTTTAGTATTTCCCCCTTTAAATTCTCATCCGAATAATGGCTTTTCGAGTCACCCGATGTCAGTCTTTCAGACTACACTCCAAGAGATGAAAGATTTGAGCAAAGTTGGTCGCGTAGGTACTTAGTCCCCACCGATCCCCTTCTCTTTCCCAGGATTTGCAGTCTCACGGGATTAACATTTCGAGAATTAGAACCGTCAATGTACGAATTCCGGATACACCGTTTGGCAGTTATATTTTGGCACCCGTTTATTTCATAATAGTGCCACGCCTTTTCTGTTGTTACTTTTTGACAGCAGAGATGAAATGACTTAGAAGAGCTGCAGGAGTTTCAGTGAAAGACACAATACGAAATTATGAAATCAGATGAATGCTAGGAATAAAGCAAGTCTTACAGGTCATCAAAGAACAACAAATGAAGTGGTTTGGACACCTAACAAGAATAACCTGGTAGTATCCACCACAGCGAGCCACACTAAAACCTTACAACGGGTATAGAACGAGTGGAAGACCTCGGAAAATATGGAATGATGGCATTAAGAACACCCTTACAGAAATAAACATCAGTCTTAATAGTGCTCTTGACAGAGCTAACTAACGAATGTTACATTTCCCCTGACACTTCGATGAGGTATAAAGTGGAAGAGAAGAAGAAGAAGAAGTGCCCCACCTGTTGAATAACTATCTGAATATGTGTAAATCACCTGTGATGATGGAAAACTTGCAAAGAGACAGCCTCAGAGACCGGCGTGACAAGGTAATTAGTAAAACTCAATTACATATGTTTCAGGTTTTAATACCATTGGCTAGCAAATATTTAACGTTTTCACTCCGGTGACCTATGAAAAATAAGGAGTTGGGGCTAAGTTGACTTGCTTGGGATATCCCGTTTTCAGCTCAAAATATTATGGTCACACTAATAAGAGGTTGATATAAACCCTGCTGTAAGGATTTTAATTTCATTGTCTCTTGATTACCTAACGCTAGATAAACATTTCAAGTGCCCACTGGGATTTTACATCGCAGACGATCACGTTTGTGATGGGTGGAGTGACTGCCCCTTCATACAAGCTGATGAGATCAACTGTAAGTGACGTTGCTTCTGTGTTATCTAATTTTTGTCTGTCTGTCATTCTCTATGATCAGAGAAACTAATAACAATTGTTTGAAAGAAGCTAATGAAAGTAGATCTCTATATAGAAAAATGAGAAAGAGACAAACACATAATGAGAAGAGAGACATTAGAGAACATCGTGACAGCTGGAAAGATCAGTGGGAAAAGGGGTAGAGGCAGACCAAGAGAGATGATGCTGGATGGGCTGAAACGATGGCATGCAGGAATATCATCAAGAGAGCTGTTCCAGGCAACCAGGGATCGTGATCTGTGGAGACGCATGAGTACCTATGCCAGTTGGCAGGACACATGATGATAATGATGTCATTCTATGTTTATAATGTAATTCAGGAATGGTCTTGTTCCAGCCATCTTTGTAATTCTGGTATTTATTACTCTTTCCCTTCTTGTATTGTTAGTGGCCATTCCATGACAGTGGCATACTTAGGGTATTTGGCACCCATGGTAAAGGGGGAAGGGGTGTGTGTTTAGACAATTTTTTGTCATTTGCATTAACCATTACTTAATTGTGGGACTACTTTTAAAAAAAATGTTAGTGCCTAATTAGGAAGCCTCTTTAATATCTTGACAAGTAACATTCAAGGCATAGACAAATATACTGGGTGTAGACAAGTAGCGGCCCCTGGGCCAACGTGGGCCCGCGGATACCTAGCAAATAGCTCTTGAATTATTGTCAGTTGTCTCATATTTATGATTTTTCAATGTTGAGAATCAGGCCTCTGGTCCCATGACAATCCATGTTTTAAAAGTTTGGTCCTTGGGTCAGTTTAGTTGAATAGCTGAGATTGTTGTGAAAAACTTTTGAATTAATAATAATATCAGTAGGCTTAGTTGCGCATTTCTTTTTGGGCACTCCTCGCCCTTTTTTTTAATTTAAAAAGTGGTAACCAGGGCATCTATTCTACCTGGCATACCCACTGTTCAAAGAAAGTGAATTCGGAAGGTGTTATTTAGATAACTTTTTCTGTGATAATCATTTTTGTTGCACAGGTTCTGCAGAATGTAAAAGCAACCAGTTCCGTTGTCCCAACTCCCAGTGTATCGGTGCCGGCAATGTTTGTGACGGAGTCTGTGACTGTCTCTCTTGTGCCGACGAGGACAACTGTGGTAAGTTAAGTCTTCTTCTTCGTCACATCCATCCACTTCGGGACTTTAGTTTTGTTCCAGAGCTTGAGTGTTGTTGTTTGGGTTTTTTTGCATGCACATAGGTTTTTCATATCTGGCTTATTTATATGCAGACTGTTGGTTACTCACCTATCAGGCAGATGCACACAGACTTCAAAGGATGGGTAAGTGTAGCTATAGGTTTCCTTCGCTAAGGTTCCTACATTTTGTGTCTACATGTGTTGATGAGAAGATCAGATGTTTCAGCAGTGTTGGTCATTATTCACTTCCAGAACTGCTGTCCATAGGTTGAGGTGAATTGATTCAAGAACTGACCTCACAACACTCAGTGAGTTCCCTTAAGCGCTTCGTCCCCATCTTCAGAAGCTAGTGCAGAGTAGTTCAGTAGCTAGTGCTAGTACTAATGGTACCCATAGTAGTTTGATTTTGCGTACATCTTGCTTTTCCTCTGAAAGTCCATAGCTTTTGGTAATGTTGATAATCTTAATTTCAGCTTCATAACAAATGGGTCACCCTGTAGTTGCTTCACTCCTGTGTTAATAAAAAACACACAGAATGTCCATCACTGTCTCCTGGGGAAAAAATTGACACAGACTTCGATGATTAGAGTCAAGCTGGAGCAAATACCAGACACCTTGTTCAGCCATCTTCTTCTTTTTCTTTTCTCTACTCCTGGAATGTCTTGCAGCATCAGGGCAGGAAGAGATCTATGTAACAGACCATTATGTTTGCTTTGTATAAAGTACTTTTCAATGTCTCTGAAATTTCTGTGGTCCACATTCTGTGTGGTCTACCTCTGGCTGTGTTACCGATGTATCTGTATAACATTGCTCTCTGCGGTGCCCCTGTCTGAGACCAGTCTTGTTACATGGCCAAACCATTTGATTTATTGTTCATCCATACAACCATTGTATTAGGGAACCCATATGGTTGCCAAGTAACCTGCAGTCCATTGTTGGCTTCGAATATCTTCTTCTCTTCTCAGCACTCACCAGCTGTAAACTCTGGTGGAAAGTTTTGGTTGTTGGTCCACTTCTTGTCTTGACTCTGATGTTGTTGAAAAACATCATTTAGTCTATAAGCCCTCATAAAGCCAGTATCTGGTGATGATTTACACAATTTATGTTTTCCATTGTTGATTCTCAGTCTCCATTATCCAGTGTTTGGTGAAAGCATTTTCCCACATAAAAGAATACACAAGGCAACGTTGGAATCACCAGACCACAAGACAGCCAATCAAATTGATCATATTTATATATAAAAACAAAAAATTTAGATCATCCCTGTATGATGTTAAGGCTTATAGAAGTGCTGATATATTTACTGCCCATTTTCTGTTGGTAAGTAAAATCAAGTTGAAGCTTAAAAAGTTATATAACATTTTACAATCATAGAAACCAGGATCACAAAGGATATCTCATGGATTTAAAAAAAAGTGAAGGATACATTTTCAGTTACAGTCTTTAATATTTACAGTGTGTTGGAGCAGTTAGCTGAAGAGTTAAAACACTGAAGTCTGCTGGGACTCAGATCAAAGGAATCTGGAAATAATCTTATGTACAAGTCCTTGGTTAGAGAGGCATAAAACCTGGCTAACCCAGAAACCATTGAAATGATAGAAGAAAGAAAAAGTTAAAATCCAGACTTAAACAATAACCAAACTAGAACTGCTTAAGCTAGAGAGGATAAATACACAGAAGCCAATAAGGAAGTTAGGAGGCGTACAAGGGCAGATAAAGTGAACTATTTAAATGAGCTAGCACAAGAAGCAGAGACAACAGCAGCAAAAGGAAACCTTAGAGACCTTTTGCGGTAACAAAACGAAATTAGTAGGTTAATATAGTCAGTTACCTGGCGCAATTAACAATAGTCAAAGAAAGGACCTCACTAACACTAAAGATTAAATTGACAGGTGGGATGAATATTTTAAAATACTTCTAAATAGACCAGGCCCAGAGGTTCCTCCAGATATCCAGCCTTCAGAAATGGAACTGAATATCATTTGTGAGATACCATCCAAAGAGGATATTTGAAAAGCTATACATCTTCTAAAGGAAGGAAAGGCGGCAGGTCCAGATGGTATCCCAGCAGAAGCTATAAAGGCCAACATAATCACATCAGCAGAATTGCTACATAGATTATTTAGTAAAGTCTGGGAGACTGAAGAAATATCAGCAGACTGGAAATAAGGATATCTTGTGAAACTGCCCAATAAAGGTGATCTACAGGAGTGTGAAAACTATAGAGGAATTATGTTGCTGTCAGTTCCTGGAAAAATATTAAGTAGAATTATTTTGGAAAGATTAAAAGATGCTATTGACAAAAAGCTAAGATATGAACAGGCAGGTTTTCAGCCAAACAGATCCTGTACTGACCATATAGCCACATTATGTATAATAAGTGAGCAAAGCATTGAACTGAATTCACCACTTTACATTGGATTCATAGACTATGAAAAAACTGTTGACACCATTGATAGGGTTTTTCTCTTGAAATTGATGACTATGGAATCCTACTGAAGATTATTAACTTAGTAAAGGCAATATATAAAGACATGAAATATTGAATTCTTCATGAAAAAAAGCTAACAGATATATTTGAAATAAAGACAGGTGTGCGATGGGGGTGCCTTTTGTCGCCTCTCCAATTTTTACTGGCAGTAGACTTCGTTGTTTCGTTTCATGTCTGCTCTCTAGTATCTGTCTTCGAGGCTCCATGTGACTAGTTCCACTTCTTCTAAATCTCGACTGAAGGATCCCTTTGGGGGTCTATGTTACTAGTCCCTCCTCTTCTAAGTCTCGTTGACTGAAGGTTGAAGAATCTTTCTAACATGTGAGGGTCCATGTTACTAGTCCATCCTCTTCTAAGTCTCGTTGACTGAAGGTTAAAGATTCTTTTTAACATGTGAGGGTCCATGTTACTAGTCCCTCCTCTTCTAAGTCTCGTTGACTGAAGGTTGAAAATTCTTCCTAACATGTGAGGGTCCATGATACTAGTCCCTCCTCTTTTAAGTCTCATTGACTGAAGGATTACCCAAGTGGTTTCTTTCCATTCTTAATACTTAGATTCACTAGAAGTGTTTCTAATAAATTTATTTATTCTGCAAAAAAATATTCTCTGTTAATAATGGAGACAAAAGCTAGAAGGTTCAGAAAAGATAAATTGACGTTACCAAAACTTGTTGATTCCTGTACATATTAGCTTTGCGCAATACCCTATCTCCTAACAAACAAGTGATGATGTCTCCCTGTTACAAAATTGTATGATAGAATAATGTAGAGCTTTTGGAGAGAACTAAACAAGTTCCAATTGACTAAGAGGTGAAGAAAAAATGCTGTCGTTGGATAGGACACACTGTGAGACAACCTGAGAACAAGAGAATGTTTTTGCACTGGAACCCACAGAGGCATAGACACACACAAAAAAACATGGAGAAGAAAGCTAGAAAGTGAAGTTGAAAAGATTTGGAGAACATGGGGAGAGCTACATGCAAAAGCAAAGGATAGAATGATTTGACATGAGCTGGTTGAGGGCCTATGCCCCACTGGGGGGGGGGGGGAGGAGACAGAAGAAAAAGATTATTCAGTGTTTCTCATATGTGATGCATGTTTTACTCGCTGTTACATAACTTCAGAAACAATATTATGTTTCCCAGAATCTCAGAGATGTACAGTAAAAGAAAAGTATTTCTGCCACTCACGGGAACACCCTACCCGTTGCATCGACAGGGATCGAGTCTGCGACACTCAAAATGACTGCAGGGACTCCAGCAAAGGCCAGGATGAGCTGAGTTGCAGTAAGTTCAAATGTTTTTGTTGAAAGGTAATTTTAAAGTTTTTCAAATTTATGTCTCCAGTGATGAAATGGCGGCTTTATGACAGACTGCTCCAACAGTGAGCTTTAATTCTGGTGTAGGACTGTTAGTGTTGGCACATCTGACAGCTGCTTTGTGCATTTTTACTTTGCTTGTGCAGGCTTCAGACACGCTTCTGGCACTGACAAGTTTTTCACTAGTCTCCAGATGGATCAGGAAATTTAAATAATGCGGATACAAACAATTTATTGCCAGGCATATTTGGCTATATCTCATCAGGTGCGTTACTACAGAGTTACATCAACATAAAAAAACCCACACAAAACTGAATAAATTCAACTAAAATGCTAATAGTTTCTTCAACAGGAAATGACAATTTCTTTGGTTACCACTGGAACAGGAACGGAACAAGTTATGGGGTGACTCGGCTATAGCAATGTTGGAACCTGGATAATGACTGATGACTAACTAATTTATTTGTTACTGGCAACATTAATCAGTCTCTGTTTCTTGTTACTTACTTTAAATTACTAAGCATAACATTTAATCAGCCTTTCTTTCATATTACTTACTTTGAATTGATACTTAAATTACTATATTGATAAGAATTATGCCTTCCAATTTATTTATCAAATACATAATTGGCAGTTATTAAAACTGGCAGAAGAGGTGGCAATTAAGACAGGGAATCTCACTTATTATGTAAAGAAAATGATCATGTGGTTAATCTTAGACTTCAATGCTATTCACTTGGTTAATTACAAACTTCTTTTGGTGAGATAAAATGTCATAGTGATTTGTATATTTACCTGAAAGGATTTAGGTTTTGTTCTTTATTAAACTCTGTTTACAACCACCAATAGTGTAAAACATCCTGTAAAATGTGAAGTAAAATAACCTGTAAAATTCGAAATAAAACAACATGTAAAATCTGAAATAAAACTGCCTGTGAAATCTAAAGTAAAACAACCTGTGAAATCTGAAATAAAACATCCTGTAAAATCTGAAGTAAAACAACTTATAAAATCTGAAGTAAAACATCCTGTAAAATATGAAGTAAAACAACTTATAAAATCTGAAGTAAAACATCCTGTAAAATCTGAAGTAAAACAACTTAGAAAATCTGAAGTAAAACATCCTGTAAAATATGAAGTAAAACAACTTATAAAATCTGAAGTAAAACATCCTGTAAAATCTGAAGTAAAACAACCTGTAAAATCTGAAATAAAACATCCTGTAAAATCTGAAGTAAAACAACTTATAAAATCTGAAGTAAAACATCCTGTAAAATCTGAAGTAAAACAACCTGTAAAATCTGAAATAAAACAACATGTAAAATCTGAAGTAAAACAACTTATAAAATCTGAAATAAAACATCCTGTAAAATCTGAAGTAAAACAACCTGTAAAATCTGAAATAAAACATCCTGTAAAATCTGAAGTAAAACAACTTATAAAATCTGAAGTAAAACATCTTTAAATTGTGTGTTATAAATTGATGTTTCTTTCTGTGCAATAATTTTTCAGTCGATACAACTCATAACTGCAGTCACTTTGATATGACATACAAAAAGAAGTTCTTCAAGTGTCCAGAAGGAAGATGTATTCCAGAGCAGAAGCGATGTGACTATTACATGGACTGCCAAAATGGAGAGGATGAGAAAAACTGTAGTAAGTATAATTGCTTTTTGGTGTATGACTCAGTCAAACATTGTCAGTATTTTGAGATAATAGGTTCAAATCCTTGTGTATCATAGATTTAAGGAGCCGGAATGCTATAGTAGCTTGCATGATTGCCGTCCAGCTCAGTGGTTTTGGGTTCAGTTCTGTATTGAAGTGACTTTTGTCAAATTAAATATGGGTGTTCAGATCAACCCAGCCTGAAGTGGCTACCAGGAAATGTTTCTGGGAAGTAAAGGTAGTAGACAAATTGAACATAAAATGGGATGAATTCAAGGGTGGTGGAGAAATAAGAGAAATGCCTGGGGAACCTCTGGTATCAACAGTTGTCAGGCCGAGAAGATAGCTCTATATTGGGCACATTCTGAGAAAAGAAGATAGCTCTATATTGGGCACATTCTGAGAAAAGAAGATAGCTCTATATTGGGCACATTCTGAGAAAAGAAGATAGCTCTTTATTGGGCACATTCTGAGAAAAGAAGATAGCTATATATTGGGCACATTCTGAGAAAAGAAGATAGCTATATATTGGGCACATTCTGAGAAAAGAAGATAGCTCTATATTGGGTACATTCTGAGAAAAGAAGATAGCTCTATATTGGACACATTCTGAGAAAAGAAGATAGCTCTATATTGGACACATTCTGAGAAAAGAAGAAAGCTCTATATTGGACACATTCTGAGAAAAGAAGATAGCTCTATATTGGGCACATTCTGAGAAAAGAAGATAGCTCTATATTGGGCACATTCTGAGAAAAGAAGATAGCTCTATATTGGACACATTCTGAGAAAAGAAGATAGCTCTATATTGGGCACATTCTGAGAAAAGAAGATAGCTCTATATTGGGCACATTCTGAGAAAAGAAGATAGCTCTATATTGGGCACATTCTGAGAAGAAACCAGCACAGAAACATCAAAGTGAATGCTGATGAAAGGAGCCAAAGATGCTGGACTGAATTCCATCCATGATATCAAGGTGATTGCACAGGATTGGATGGAGTGGAGAAATAGACAGGATAATGAAGGAATGAATGAAAAGATAAGAGACATACTTTTTTTTTTTTTTTGCTGTTAACTCTTTCAATCTCAAGGAACATTTCTTTTGACTACCCCTTGGGCCTCTGATGCTAAACCGCATGGGACTCAAAGAGTTAAGTGTTGTGGGGAGGAAAAATTTCAAATATATTGCTAAAAAAAGGAGTAATAGCTATTTTAACTCTGTGTTGACGTAAAAGGTCTTTAATGTCTTCAATCCATATTCTCCTAGGGCAACATCCTGCTTTGACATCAGATCTTTTAATGTGTTGAGCCTGTGTTGGTAGTTGTTCTTGCAGCATTCTTACTGGATGACCAAACCATTTTATCTTCTGTTTTCCTGTGAATTTGACACATGGTGTTGTTCTCACATTCTGTTTGATAATATCATTTCCAACTGTGTCTTGGAAAGTTGGCAGCTTTCTTTAGTCATCTCATTTCACAGGTGCTAATTTTACGCACATTATCCTTTGATAATGGTCCGGGTTTGGCACTGGTAGCACAGTATCGATATGAATAAGCTTTTTATAATTTGTTATAATGTTGATAACAATATAAATAACTTCTTCGTATTTTTTTTATTCTAGATTTCACCAGCTGCTCTCCTGGCCAGTTTCAGTGTGACACCAGGCAATGTGTGCCCATGTCGGCACGGTGTGACATCAAACATGACTGCAAGGACTGGTCCGATGAGTTGAACTGTGGTAAATCATGTTGATTTTTATTAACACCTTTTTGTGCTGTAAGATACATCATTGTCATTGTTATTGTCATCATCATTGTCACTGGCACTATCATAAACATCACTAACAACATCATCATCATCACTGGAACTATCATAAACATCACTAACACCATCATCATCACTGGAACTATCATAAACATCACTAACACCATCATCATCATCACTGGAACTATCATAAACATCACTAACACCATCATCATCATCACTGGCACTATTATAAACATCACTAACACCATCATCATCATCACTGGAACTATCATAAACATCACTAACACCATCATCATCATCACTGGAACTATCATAAACATCACTAACACCATCATCATCATCACTGGCACTATTATAAACATCACTAACACCATCATCATCATCACTGGAACTATCATAAACATCACTAACACCATCATCATCATTACTGACATTATCATTAACATCACTAACACCATTATCATCATTATTAATGACGTGAGTATGTTAGCACGCACAGATCTGTCCGTCTTGTGTTGCTCTCTTTCACCATGTGTATGTAAGCATGCACAGATCTGTCTGTCTTGTGTTGCTCTCTTTCACCACGTGTATGTAAGCATGCACAGATCTGTCTGTCTTGTGTTGCTCTCTTTCACCATGTGTATGTCAGCACACACAGATCTGTCTGTCTTGTGTTGCTCTCTTTCACCATGTGTATGTAAGCATGCACAGATCTGTCTGTCTTGTGTTGCTCTCTTTCACCATGTGTATGTCAACATGCAAAGATCTGTCCGTCTTGTGTTGCTTTCTTTAACCATGTGTATGTCAGCACGCACAGATCTGTCTGTCTTATGTTGCTCTCTTTAACCATGTGTATGTCAGCACACACAGATCTGTCTGTCTTATGTTGCTCTCTTTCACCATGTGTATGTAAGCATGCACAAATCTGTATGTCTTGTGTTGCTCTCTTTAACCATGTGTATGTAAGCATGCACAAATCTGTATGTCTTGTGTTGCTCTCTTTAACCGTGTGTATGTCAACATGCAAAGATCTGTCTGTCTTGTGTTGCTCTCTTTAACCATGTGTATGTCAGCATGCACAGATCTGTCTGTCTTGTGTTGCTCTCTTTAACCATGTGTATGTCAGCATGCACAGATCTGTCTGTCTTGTGTTGCTCTCTTTAACCATGTGTATGTAAGCATGCACAAATCTGTATGTCTTGTGTTGCTCTCTTTAACCGTGTGTATGTCAACATGCAAAGATCTGTCTGTC